TATATATACATATGTATATATTTATATGTATGTATGTATATATATATATATATATATATATATATATATATATATATATATATATATATATATATACATTCATATACCTATCTATCTATCTATATACATACACATTCATATTTCTATCTATCTGTCTATCTATCTATTATTATACACATTTATATATATATAAATATATGTATATATATATATATATATATATATATTTATATATACATACATATATATACATGTATATAGGTGTGTGTGTGTGTCTCTGTGTGTGTGTGTGTGTGTGTGTGTGTGTATGTGTGTGTGTGTGTGTGTGTGTGTGTGTGTGTGTGTGTGTGTGTGTGTGTGTGTGTGTGTGTGTGTGTGTGTATACATACATATGTATATATATACATATATATATATATATATATATATATATATATATATATATATATATATATATATATATATACACACACACAAACACACACACAAACACTTGTTTTTGTGTATATATATATAGATAGATAGAGAGATAGGTAGATAGATAGATAGATAGATATAGATATGTATATATATACATATATATACATATATAGAGACATCTATACATACATATATAAATAGACAGATAGATTGGCTTGGAGCATGAGCGGTTACCCCTGCTATCGAGGTGGCTGCCTTCTCGGAGGTGAGAAGACCTGGTAGTGGCACGATCAGTATGGGTGGATATACCTACTACTGGTCAGGCCTGTGCGATGGTCATTGTCTCCAGTGAGTAGCCATAGCCATCTTCAGCCACCTTCAACCCTCGGCAGTAGAGATAACACGAGTTGACGAGCATACTATAGCACTGAGACTGAAGTATGCTTTTGGATTCGTGTCTCCTAATGCTGTGTATGCTGACAAATGTTCCTGACGAGACTTTTGCATTGTTCTGGGCGACTTCAATGCGGTATCCGGCTGTGATTGAGCTCTTTGTCGGCCCCCATGCTCTGGAGCTGACCCCAACACTATGAACAGCTTCATTCTCTGGGACTTTGCCAAGCCTCGGTGATTGAGGATTTCTGGGTTCTGGTATCAGCGTTCCAACCCGCCTTGCTAGACATGGTATAGCAATACGAGTACTGTGGACAAGTAGATCGACCACATTCTTGTCAGCACTCGCTGGAGAATCCTCCAGAACTGCAGGGTTTACCAGAATGCCGAGTTCTGTGGTTCTGACCATAGGCTGGTTGTGGCTATCCTACGGGTCCACTAATCGTCCTCGAGTGACCACTCTAGGGTGTTTCACTTCGACAGATTATAGGAGGAGGAGTGTGCCCGGAGATTTGTCATGGGAGTATCTGATCTATTCACAGAACTTGAAAATTAAATGGACCTAGTAGCTCTGAGGGAGTCCTTCAAGTGCGAAACACTCGATGCAGTTTAGGAGTTCATTGGCAAACACCCAAGGGCAAGGCAGAATTTCCCCTAACTGGAGACATAGGAGGCCACAGAAGCATTCTGTGTGGCTCAGCTGAATGGCAATCAGAATTTACACCATTCCTTGGTGTGCAGGGCTTGGACACTGCTGAGAAGGGGCAAGGAACAGTTCATAGAACCTTGCTGAGGAGGCTGAAAGCCATTTCTTGGTATATAACCTTCGCCCTGCCTACCAAGCCCCGAGAAAACTGAATTCCAAACTCTCTTCGCAGATGACTGCAGTTCGCTTAGTGAGGGGATGGGCAGATCATTTCAGATCATGTTGGGGTTCGTGAACGTTGGGTTGAATATTTTGAGCTATACCTGGTAGACCCTCCAACAGTTAGCTTGGATCCAAGTGGTATCACAATACATGTGCTAGACCCATCAGTGAGGAACCTCATAACCTAACTGAGGTTAGGTAGGCAGTCCCTAAGTTGAAGGGTGGGAAAGCCGCAGGCATATGTAATATCCCTGCTGAACTGCTAAAGGCTGGGGGTGAACCTATGCCATGGGGCTTGCATACAGTTTTGACTATCATCTGACAGTCAAAACTGTATGACCCTAACATGTAGAGAGGCCTAGTCATCCCTCTTTGGAAGGGGAAAGGGGATCGATGAGACTGTAGCAACTACTGTGGCATCAGTGATCAGTATACCAGGCAAGGTTTTCGTCCACATCCTTCTGAAACGGAGTCATGACCACCTATTAAGGCACCAGAGACCGGAGCAGTCTGGATTCACTCCTAGCAAGTCCACAATAAAAAAAAAATCGAATCAAGAAAGTGGGAAATCCTGAGACTTAGGGGAGTTCTGACACGGATTATTGGCCTAATAACAAGCCTATATACTGTTACTGAAAGTGCTGTAAAGGGTGGTGGGAGCCTGTTAAACTTCTTCCCTGTTAATCAAGAGGTGAACTACTATCCGAAGTCAGCGTGGAGCAACACTGGGCAATATCAAAGTCACAGACCTCGACTTCGCCAACGATGTTGCTATCCCATGTCTCTGGAATCCCTTGTGACGGCTCTTGATGCCTTGAAGTCCTTGGGCCTAGAGGTCTCGTGGACCAAAACCAAGATTCAGTATTTTGGGGGCCTATTAGGAAAACCCGTTCAGTAGATACATGCATGCAGTAAGTATGTTGAAGTCACTTAGAGCTTTTCATACCTTGGTAGCGCAGTCCATGTCTCTGGGCAATCAGACCAAGAAGTCAATAGACAGATTGGTCTGGCAGTAGGAGCCATGAACTCAATCAACAAGAGCATTTGGAGATGTCGGTACCTATGCAGAAGGACCAAGATACGTGTCCTCAAGGCCGTCATACTGCCAGTTTTGCTGTATGGAAGCAAACCTGGACGCTATCGTGTCTTGGAACCTTTTATAACAACTACCTAGGCCAGATCATAGGGTACAGTTGGTAGGACAGTGTCCAGCCAATGGCTACACTATGTGACTGGCATGAGACCTGTTACTCTCATAATCCAGGACCGGCAACTCCGGCTATATGGGTACCTAGCTCGTTTCCCTGTGGATGACTCTGCCCCTCTTTGAGAGACAATCCTGGGTGGAGGAAGCCCGTGGGACGACCTAGGAGGTCAGGGCTTGGGCAGCTCGATCAGTCCTGTCGCGAGGAGTTAGAGATGGACCGAGGGCCTTCCTATGAGGGACCGTCCAATTTCGATGGTCACACATATATTTTATATGAAACGATAGTTTGGATATGGTATATTTAGAATTTTTCACCTTATCCAGCAACAGGAAAAGATGCAAGATTCCACGCCATCCAAGAATGACTGAATGGATAAGTCCGATATGCGAAGCTGAGCCTCGCCCGGGCTATGGGGGAGCCCGGCCTGTGCCGACTAATGTCGACTCGCTAACAGTGTGTCAGCAGGTGCTGACTCGGATGAGCTTAGTCCTTACCCACCGTGGTGCCCGGCCACAGCAGTAACCTCCAGGCGACAATTGCAACTTCTCGCGCCTGGGCGGGGCGCGAACCGCCGACCCCTCGAATGAAAGGCCGGCACGTTACCACTGTACTAGCCCGGAGGCTACTGAATGGATAATTCTACAAGTTTATTCTCTTCCCGCCACATCACACATGTCGTGTGGTGTCTGCAAATCACGTATTGATGTAACACAGCTTTCTGTGTTACATCAATAAGAGAGAGAGAAAGGGGGGAGGGGTATAAATGCTATATTCACTGTAGGGTGATTCGTAGTGTTCCCTTGCGGAAGTTACGTAATGCACCATCACTTGTTTCCAGTTACTCCAATTATTAATTACCATTCTGGGTATTTGGACATTTCACTTTTTGTTTGGTTACTTGTATACAATTTAATGAAGCCAATCCTGTTTAATCTGATGATTCTGATCCGCTATTTTTCATTACTGCTCTGTGGTTTTCTGGTTTTATGTTTGGTTTTCGTGCACATGCGACTGTTTACAAATATATTTGGACGTTCTTCTTGTGACTGCTGAATATGAGGCTTATTTCAATCTTAACAATCTATCTGTTTGTCTCTGCTTATTTACATTTAATTTAATGGATTTCCTCATCGTTTATGGTCTCTATATTCGCTTATCTTTATTATTATTATTATTATTATTATTGTTATACCATTTAATGATTTCTGTTTTATTCCAATTTTCTGTGGCTTGTTCTCTGCTTTTGGTTGCGTAATTGTAAAATATGTCCCTGGATATTGTTCGTTAATTATATACTTTTGATACATTTACGGACTTCAAATTTTGTACGGAAATACAACCAGCCTGCATGAATATAAGGCAAACGTATTAAAGCGCACTTTTTATCGGTATTGCAATGCTTATGATTAACTTTCTATCACGAGTGAATGCTGGGCCGGATCAAGCCCTTTAGATGCCCTAAGCACTTAAGACCTTGGTGTCCCATGTGTGTTTAATTCAAAATATAAATATGAGTCACACAAAATTTTATCTATCAAAACTAAATAAAACTTAACAGTAAGAAAGAAAACAATGCTTATTTTGTATACTTTCACTTTTATTTGAAAAGTTTGCTCCTGCTTATTTTAACTGCAAAGTCTTTGATCAGATCCTCAAAACTGATCTTACGTAACACATGTGCCTCTATACTTCATAGAGATAAGGCATCTAAGCCTGCCTTGTTACATAGTTGTTCTGATGGGATTTTAAATAAGCTCTACCTGAGAAAATGAGCGTGCAGCTGAACAATTTATGACCATTAATGTTAAAAATATACGGAAGCCAAAGTCTACCTTCAGAAAGGCACACTCAATGTTATTTTCTACAAGTATTTTATTTTAGTTCAGCATGACTGAATCTTGTTTTTACAATTTTTGTTTCACTGAATTCATGGCACACATTGTGTGGTAGTGGTACGTGCATTTCCGTCATTGAGTACCTTCTTTCTGATACGTTTGCGTGTTGCAGCTGCCTTGTAATCAACATCTAGTAGCATTTCCTCTGCAGCTGCTTCATAACGTTCAAATTCACCTAGTGAAATGCACATGTTTTTTTTGTTTTGTTTTTTAAGTTCACATGGTCATTTTGCAGAGCTCGACTTGCTCTGAAAATTCTGCAAAATGTCATTCCAAAAATTTAATATGAAATATAAATTCTAGCTCTTGCATTTTATCTGTAATATTATTTGCTTCTCTTCTTGCGTCTCCCTTTTGGGACTGGTCTGGTCTGGTCCACTATATATTCTAGTGCTTCTTCTTTTTTCTTTTTGGAAAGAGTTCAAAATTGCTGCTGTGCCTCCCATCTGGTATCAGAAAGGGATTTTAAGACACTTATTTCCAATACAACTTTAAAGAATTTTCCACCGGCTGGTTGAGGCTGAAAAAATTATTGTTGTGCTGTAGAAAAGAAGTTAACTGCCTCTTGATGTCAGTCAACAGAACTTCGGCCTACCAGATTTAGTGAATGAGCTTCACAGGGCACATATATGGCAAACTTGTTTATCCCCCCCCCCAAAAAAAAATGCTGCCTCAACATTTCAAAAAGTCTAGTTTACAAATTTCACTCAAGTGCTGCAACACCTAATTTGCTATTTCCTCACCAGTATAGCTTTTCAATTCAAATAACAGACGTTTACTGTGCCCAACCTATCGCCACGGTGCCTACACTCCACTATCACGCACGATAAATGTTAATTATAGGAGAAAAATACAAGCAACAGCACCATGGATTTTAACCGGAAAGGGAAGTGAAGAAATTGTTTGTTTTATTACAGCAAAAAATAGATGGAGACCCAGCCAGGAGACCAATGGGAAGTCAGAGTCATTAGATTTGAAATATGTTGTGTTACCTAGATGAATCTGAATATCTTAATTTTACTTTTCATATTAATGATATCTAATTCGGTATTTGGTGCCCCTTTCCTTGCCCTAAGCACATGCTTAATTTGCTTAATGGTTAATTCAGCCCTGAGTGAATGCAACATCAAGACAAGAATACTCTTTTCCTATATGATTAGTAGTAGACCAGGTAACTACCATAATAAACAAATTCAAAATACCT